GGGTTTCGGACGAGAGGGGGGGGGGGTTGACCACTCAAAATTCGTTTGGCTACTTCTAATGCCGAGTGAAGTACCTTTCAGAGCCTTAATTGAATTAGGGATGCGTTCGGCGGAGGTTCATCGATCCATTTCATTAGATAGAGTCGAAAGGGTAAAATGTAAAGGGTTTAAATTGTATGTGATGGATTTAGGGGGAGGTTATTTTAGCTTTTTGTGGATGTGTTATTGTTAGTTCGGACATTTCATGTATCTGGATGAAGAGTTAGCCTAAATTGTATTTACTCGGGTAATTTTATCTATTTTCATGTAACTTTTTTTCTTCTTTTTTTTAACATATCATCAGTGTAGGAGGCACTTATTCGTTTGTGCGGGAGCGTTCTTGATATAAATGTGTCCATGCGCATTGAGTAGATTCTATAGCTTGGCAATTGTTTCTCTCCTCATCCATGACAAGGGTCAATCACTATCGAAGTGGTTTTACAGTCATTAGATTAGATAGAAAAAATGAGAAAAAAATGTTTATTAGCATTGTATTAAGGTGCTAGGCTTATCTGCAAGTATTCACTAGTTTGAAGTGCTACATGAGCGTGAAATGGGATGAATAATTTATATCAACTGCAGAAGAAATGTTGAAAGCGACCATAATCATTTTTTTTTTTTTTTTAATATCTGAAAATCTTCCCTCAGCATTTACCTTGGATCTTACTCGCATATTTATCTAAATTCATCAGATTTTTAGGGGGGGGGGGTCCTGACTCCCTGTATACAGCGTTGATATAGCGCCACGGATATAGACGTACGTGTTTAATTCTCATTTGTTCTTTTATTTCCGACGCTTATCATTTGGAAGCATTTGGTGGGAATTAATGTTTGAGAATTTTCCATGAACTGACTTGACAACGAAACCGCCCAGGTGAAGAATGACGCAGCATGACCATTTTTCGCTGATTTTGAGCTCATTTTGCAACGGTCGAGAACCAGGACTCGCGTGTTGTGGGGTGGAAAATCGAACACAATCCGGGAATTAGGGCTAGACTGCTTGGCACCGACTATGTCCTTTCACCGTTGCTGGGATCAAGTGAAAGAGATTGAACGGACCCATGAATTGACAGGTTACAATGCTCATATTACGACCGAATTTATCTTCTTTCCGAAATATCACGGAGCGAATGGTACAGACATCGAACATTTTCAATTTTTTTTCCATTTATGGTAAAAATAAACATAAAATGTTAACCAATGCAACTAAAAACTGCGAACGTTAATTTGATCCATCATTATCCGCATTTTGGGCTAAAGCACCCAAATGTTAGGTAGGATGAATGGGCTGTTCAGATGCATTTTGTCCTCCCCATTTTTTCTTTAGGCTTTGAAATTTAACTTGAGTTGGAAGAGGTTGCTAAAATTGTAAAAATATTCATTATATTTAAAACTTTGAGCCCTACTGAATGTCAGTGCGAGACTACAAAACGATACGTCTGATTGCCTTGCGTTCATTGGACCAAACCCTTATGTTACTCCCTGACTTCTAAGGATTGAGAGATTTTCTTGCTGACGTATAATGCACTCGCGTAACCTTAATTTCAAAAACTCAGGTGTGACGAGCATCGAAATAGAGCGGGTCTCAGGTTCAGTACTAGCCAGTGGCTATGCATAAATGATCGGTTTTTGATATTTCCCCTTTGTAACTGTGGTTAAGAATCGATTATTAAGGTGTTCGTTGTGAACACCCTGTATATGGACCCTTTTTCATGGATTAAAATTACAGACCAATCGAAATATCGCAAAGCACGCCACGCCACTGAAAGTAGCCGTCTTCGCCTAATTTACGTGGGTTCGGAGGGTTGCAACCTAAAGGTTTTGTCACTTTGATAAAAAAAAAAAAATCGGGTCAAATTAATCAATAGAAAAATTGACCTAAAGGAATTAAACAAGTTTGTGTTACTTTGCGTTCTACTTCCCATCTTACCGCAAGCTTTTGGTATCCTTTCTTGGCGTGCGGGGCTTTGTGCTTCATCTCGTCCCGGAATCTATTCAAGGATTCTGGCAGACATTTGGCAGTGGAGGCCACGGCCGCAACCCAATTCCGCGCCTAAGACCTCGGCGTCGCGCAGTCTGGCTCTACCTGGAAAGGTGTCAAAATCCGAAAGCGATACCTTCGGCGAGAATCGGGGCATTTGTTCGCGGCGCGCGGAACGCCGAAACGTCAATGAAGTCAGGGCCAGAACAAAGGCCCCCTCCGTCCCCCCTAAAATTCACACGTTTGAATGAACTGACCCTGGCAACCCGCGGCTTTCTAGCCGCCCCCCCCTCCCCCTCTTCTCTGCTATTCCGAGTTTGAGAAAACTACATCATTAGGATGTCAATATCTGTGAGCTGATCTTTTTCGAGGAACAGCGCCGATGCCAGTCCGTCCGAAAATTGGAGAGAACCCACGCTGTTAAAAATGAATCCCACCTGAACACAACGGCATAGAACTCTATTTTTTAGTCCAGGTAACCGAATTTTCAAGTGACCAAAGTTTTTGTTACCCGTGCTAATATTTATGTTCCTTACTGGAAACTCCCGCAGTGTGAACCGAAGTACGATTTCTATGGCTAACTATTGAAATTGATAGACAAAGCGTTGGACATAAAATACGCAAGGAAAATTGAGGGTTCCTGTATTGGTGGAAGTGGGTGGTTCTAATGGACGGAGGGGGTAAGTGACAGACCAACTAACCCATCAGAAAATCCATTGGAGACCCTTCAGTTAGTCCACTGCATTCCCCCTTAGTCTATTACAACTACCTGTTCCAATCAAAAGGATCGCTACATTACCACTCATTGCTTTATATATCAATTTTAATAATCTGCCAACTGAAAACGTTGGTGTCTCGTAAGAAACGGAGTTCGATTCCCGTGCAACCGAAGTTTTTCTTTTTGCGCTACCGTGGATTATTTATCGGAAAATAAGAGTAAAGGTAAATTTCCGAGATATACCGTGCACCGGTGCAGGGGAACGTTCAGTTTAAAATGTTTATTTTACATGGCAAGTTATCTCTAGTTTAATCAACGGAATTACAAGGGACGAATTTTCATTTCAAAATAAGATTTTTCCCCAATGTATATGTGCTCTATAAGTGAAACATATGACTCAATACTCCCCAAATTTAAAAAAAAGGCTGTTTTTCTGTAACTCTGGGACATTATTTAATCAGTTGTCATACAAATCTTTTCTTCGTAATTTTTAACGCTAAATCCTAATTTCAGGTCCAAAATTATGGTGGTTCCCTGTTCGGGGTTAGTTTTTCGGGTCTCAACAAAAAATATGACTATTTATGAGGTGAGAACTCTCCGAAGAACCCTCAAAAACTCAACTGATTTACATTTACTTTAAGTTACTCCAAGCTCTATAGTGACCGCAGTATAGTTGATGCTTCAAAACCCATTCAGTTGACGTTAGCTTTATGACGTTTGACCTATACAGTACTATGTTCCCAGAATTTGTTTTTTTTTTTTTAAAAAAAAAAAAAAAAAAAACCCGGATATTTTCCGGGGTTGGACGGGGTTGTGGTCTCGTGGGATTCATTTTCAGAGTCGATGTTCTCAGTAATAGAAAAGTCTTACTTTAAGCTGAAGAATCACCCCATGAAATTCTATCGGTCAAACTTAGGACAACCTGTAATAGTTGATGAAAATCCCGAAAATTTAGATGAACTGGCAACAATCGTGAATAGCCATTCAGTTCCGATCTTTCCAAATTTGAGGATATAATGAACAGGAACTCATTGTGCATCGAATTCAAAAACGCGACCCCCCACCCCTTCATCCTTCATGGCCATTGTGCTCACCCCCTTCTCCCGCGGACTGAGGGACTTCCTTTCCTACCTGAGGGATTTTGAATAGTGAGTGAAAGTTAATCTTTCAAGTCCATTGTCACGAATCATTCCCGACTTAAGTGTCTTTTTAAGGAGCTAGAAAATGACTGGGTCACTCACTCGATTGGAGGCACTTTGGTGACTGTTGCGAGGAAAATTATGATCGAGAGGGCGGAAGTTCAACCACATTTTGCAATTAGGAACCCAATTTCTAGCTCATCATTAGTAGATGCAACACATTTATTATGTGCTACTAGTTTACTTATGAGAAAGGTTTTTTATGTATGGGCCAGAAATTATAGTTCCAAATGACAAAATGGACGTATGAACTAAAATGAACTATGTGCATAGGTTTTGCGAGTAACATAGTTCCTTATAGCATGATTACGTTAAAATGAAGTCTAATTAGGAGTCTGATACTTCCGTAGAATCAGATTAATAGCAAAATTTCGATTATTCGCGATTCGATTATCTACGATTCGGATTATTCGCGGTGCTGTCAAACCCTCAAACATTAAATTAGTCGCTTGGAGGACATGGCGCAAAAGTGCAGTTTTTGATATCTCTAAAGAAACGTGTTAAAAGTTTTGGAATTACAGGGAGCCTTATGGAAGAAAGAAAGTTTAAACTCACTTTTTGATGCTTTTGAGTTGGATTTTAGTTGTTGGTTTTTCACAAATCATACTTTCATGCTAGTTTCAGTTGAATTTATGAATATCTCAATTTTTCAATTGAAAACTGCACCTATGCGCCTTGTCCTCGAAGCCCCTCAAACAATCTCACAACGATTCATCCTCGATTTTTAAAGCATCAAATAGTTCTTTGAAACACACTTGAGCACACTTCAACTTCTTTGAACTTTTGGAACGCACCGTGTGGTCAAGAGACAGACTGAAACAGTCTCTCAAGTCTAACATGTTTTCCTTATTTACTCTCAGAGTATCAGCTTCATTACACCCACAATTGCCACGTCGACAAATGCCACGTCACTGAAGAAATTCGGCGAACGCCGCGCTGAAGATAAGGTGCTTCATCTATTGTTACCACAAATCCGTTAGTACGTGACGTGGAAGCTGTTTTAGAGGTTATCATGAGTGGTGAGTGGTGTCAAGATCAATAATTGCTGGAGTCGTACGATTGGTACATGTACTCTTATCTATACTCTACGATGCACACATTGTTTACCTCCAGCCTCGAGTACCTTGTTACAGTTGAGTGTCCCTAATAATACCTACTCATATATAAGAATGGAGACTTTAGGCAATATGCATGTACTTGTCGTCTTTTTCCAAATGATGTGTTGAATAAAACTGAGATTGCTGCATAGTGCGGATTGCTCAAATCATTCTGTGTTGATGTCGTCTTCACTGAGTGCTTCAAATACAAGTGTCTGTTAGCAAACTTTGGAACGGTTAAACGGATGCCACCAATCCAAATTTCGGTCAAAATAGTTAATGGTGCTGCAAATGTATTTATACGCGCGGTATTGACCTGAAAACACCTTAAATAAATCACCTGATTATTGCGAGACTAACTTTTCCAGAACGCGATAGTACAAAGTGCAGTCAAAATCATTCAGAATTCCCCTATATTTTAAGCCGATCTATTCCAAAAATCAAAGGTGAAAATTTCTTGACGTTTTAAAAAAGGTTGTCTCATGTCGTGAGGGGGGTGTAAGTAATTGAAAAGAAGATACGGGTCACATTCTTTATTCACGATGTTTTTCCTTCATTTTTATGTAATTTTAATTTTAATGAGCGCGTCTTTGGATGCTTTTAAAATCCTGGTGCTGTATCCTTTTCCTTCCCTTAGTCACCAGCAGGGTATCATGGCTTTAACAGAGAGACTCGTTAAAAAGGGCCATGAGCTCTATGTAATCAGTCCAAATGCAGTTCCCGTAAGTATTCTCCTTTATTTTCCAACAATAAACTGGATTACATTTTGCAATACCTAAGGAACCATTATCTCTGGCTCTCTCATGAAAGAACATACATGCATAGGGAAACCGATCGCATGTATGTTAGTTCTAAAATGGGCCAGGAATGGTTCCTTATACCAAAATGTACTCCAACTTATCTACAAGCTATAAAAAGGCGTTAATACCATCTTACAAACTTATAATCATTTTATACTATCGTGTTAAAGAAAAAGCGCCACATGTAGATTTTGACGTTCCCAAATTTTTCCACTTATTTTTAAGACAGTTCGGGTTACTATCCTTTAAAATTGTCATACATTGACTGTTTAATTGAAATTAAATTTTCTGAGAAAGTGATAAAATATTATTCACAAATTTTCCTGTAAATTCTTATTTTATCAAAGGAAATTTGACCTTGTTTGAAAGCTCACACAACATTATCCTCCGAAACAGCATTGTAAGTGCGCTACAACTCGAGGTTGGCAGCGGCACTTTTCTAGTGATTTTCGTTTTTCAGGTTGTCGCCCTTTTGGGCCCTAAGAGCTACATAAATTGAGTTGTCCATACTCTCCCTATGAAGGTACTCTAGACTATACAGCTCTTTTCCCCCAGATGATCATTTAACAATGTTCACGCATTTATATTCCTATTTTATTTCGATTTTTGCTCCAGGGGTTGGAAAAACACGATAACTATACCTACGTAAATACGTCGTTCGCTTACGCATACATCCCGGATGAGAATAATGCTGACGAGGAGGTGGTGAATTTTCAGCGCCATTGGTCTAAATGGGAATTTCCGAAAGTATGGAAAGCGTTTGCTGATATTCCGCGGAGGCAACTCTTGAGTGAAGCATTTTTGCAATTTGATCGGTGAGAATCGAAGGGCGATTAAATCAAATTTTTCTGCACTTTTTAGGGTGATGAGATTTTAATAAGTTCAAATAAAAGAAATGCAATACAATTTTTCATATACTCGTATTTTCACCAACGGGTGGCTAGACAAGGTTCAGACTAGAGTACAATGGTACCTAAACATGATTTTTCCCAATGGCAATAATTTTATTGGAAAAAAAAAAAAAAAAAAAAAAAAAAAACTCATTTGCTGCATTTGAAAAAGGAAAGAACTCTTTTTAATTGAGAATACATTTTTTAACTAAAAACTACGAACACCGAAAAAAAAGGATACTGACTTAACATTCTGCATGTAAAAAAGTGTGCGACGATTCACAAAACGCTGAGTTAATCCGCCTCAGCAGTTACTATATAGCAATGTCAACATGTAAAGCTAACTGGTGTCGCGGTTAGCTCAGCGTTTTATGAGTTGTCGCACTCTTTTTTACATCCAGAATGGTAAGTCAGCATCCTTTTTTTTGGTGTATTTTTACTTCCTTTAAAAGAAGAGTTGTTTTAAGTTTCTAATCTACTAAAAAATCTCTCAAATCAGAGAGAATTTTATTTTAAATTAAAATACCTAACGTGTTTTTTCAAGCCATTTTTCCAGTGTGGTTTTTCGAAACGTGTGTGTACTTCAATGCATTGAGAAATAGAATGGACACAGGATGAAAGCCTAATTTTCCTCTTTGTACAAAGCTCTATCTTGACTGATCAGTATACCGATGGCTAAAGTGAGACCACGTCCACGTACCCTCCGTTTGCGACTTTCTAGACTTCCAGTCTTAATTTATTTTTTCCTTTGAAAGCAGTCAAAGTAATTTTTTGAAAACTTCCAAGATTTTTCCTGTCTCATAGTAGAATATTCTGTATGAATTTCGAGCTTTACAGCTCACTTGTTCTTTTTAAAAAATATAAACCAATAGAGGAGATTTTGAAATACCGCAATAGTGATACGTGGTGTCATGCTTTAGCCATCGATAGTCACTCACTAATTTACCCGCAATTGATCCATCATTGTTTTCAGGCGCGTGACGTCAGAGCAAATTCACTTCGATCTCGTCATCGCAGAGGCGTTTTTCCTTCCATACGCGTGTGCCATTCTAAGGAACGCCACGAAATCGGCCCCGATCATCACCATGACGTCACTAATGACCGAGTTCATGACAGAGGGGGCCCTCGGTAGCATCGAGCACCTCTCTTTCTTACCGGGGTATTACAGTGCCTACACCGACCGCATGTCTTTATTGCAGAAAGTGGACAACTGGATCGCTCATTACTACGTTACAGGTGACCTGTTCAAACACCTGGACAAATCTGTGTCGAGGTTTTGTAGAGAGTTCTATGGCCCCGGGTTTGAGAATATTGCGAGTGGATGGAGGTCTCGGAGCAGTTTGACATTGATAGCATCCAATCCGATGTATTTTTACCCGCGACTTCTTGGACCGAATGTCATCGAAACAGGTCCTTTGCATTTTAAGCCACTGAAGAAACTACCGCAGGTAAGAAATTCAAAAGCATTTACATTAAAAACATAAGTTACTATTAAATTGCAAAAAGATGTATTTCGTTTGCGGTGTTTCAATATCCCTGCTAACATCTTATTTAATCAAAGGAGAAAGAACCATTACGCAGAGAAAAAAATTCAAAGAAGCTCGCAAGAAATTACGTAGAGTATTTTTCCATTTAAAAAATAAATTAAGACACGGAGTCTTTATCGTCACGAACCGAGGTAGGCGTTTTTGCAGTTTCAATTGATTGCAAGAGACACTCAAACTCATTTTATCGCACCATGGCGCAAAAGGTGTGAATCAGAGACAATGTGATGTGTTTTATTGCTTACAATGGGCCTGTTGCAAACTTTTGCTAGAGCAAAAATAAGAGTTGTTTCTTATAGATAATGCCTCAAAAATCACGATGAGCGCATCGGCAAAGTCTGAAATGCAATCATTACTTCACAGTCTGCGTAAGAAATTTGCGGTTTTTTGAGCTTCCCGCTTCAAAAGCGATACTACGGCACAGGTGAACATTTTGTAAGAGGAGTCGTTCCATCGTCGGCAATACTCATCATGGTCGACGCCAATCCGCCAAAACACGTGTGATGGGACGAGATAATACCTGAACTGGATTAGACCAGATAACAATTGGCGTGTTTTACGTTCATGTTTTCCACGCCCGCATTGATTGACCTTGAACTCTCCTCGAATTACGCGCAAAACTGCGCGCAAGTGTCGGCCATGATGAATATCGCCGACGATGGAGCGACTCCTCTAACAAAATGTTCACCTGTGCCGTAGTATCGTTTTTGAAGCGGGAAGCTTAAAAAAACGCAAATTTCTTACGCAGATTGTGAAGTTATGAGTGCATTTCAGACTTTGCCGATGCGCTCATCGTGATTTCTGAGGCATTATGTATAAGAAACAACGCTTATGTTTGCTCCAGCAAAAGTTTGCAACAGGCCCATTGAACCATGACGTAGCCACAAAATCCATCTATTCATGGACAAACACTTAGTCTTCATAATTCTGAAAATGTTCTTTCAAATGTATTGTATCTTGATGGGCCCTGACTCGTCCTCAAAGAAATGATGGGAAGAATGCGGGTTTATACTATCCATATACTACTAGAAACGAGTAGCTGCTGGCTACGTCTACACTGCTGTCACTGGTCGAAAACGCCTTAAATTTAGCGCGATACTTCACAGCTCACACCAGGGTCAAAATATTTGCATCATATGTTGCCGTGCAAAATCCTCCGTTTTCCGAACATTCATGAAATATGTCTCGCCTTTAGTCGGAAAAACCTTATCGAACTTGTTAGCATTATAAAGTACACGTGCAGTATGTTGATACTGTAGTTGTAGACAGAAAATAATAGTAGTGTATTATCAACTAGGATGTCTTAAGTAGTGTGTTCTGTGATTTTTACATGCTAACTACACTGCCTCTTCAGTTGAGGTTACATTCCCAGGATGTACAATTAACTGCGGAGGCAATCTAAGGACCAAAACATGTATTTTTGACAGACAAAATACTGTCTTAGCATCTGCATTTATTCCACTTCATAAAAAAATCGTGCAAGTCTGATTCCCCTTTCATTTTTGTCATTGTTACAGAATTTACAAAACTGGCTTGATGGGGCTGAAAAAGGAGTCATTTACTTCAGTCTTGGATGCAATATGAGGGGCAAATCTTTAGATGCAAATATATTGGCTAATTTCTTAAAATTATTTGCAGAACTGCAACCACTAGGTTATCGAGTCCTTTGGAAGTGGGAGGCGGATGAAGAAATTCCAGGACAATCAAACAATATTTTAGCTCAAAAGTGGATTCCACAACATAGTGTTCTAGGTAATGATTGGACTGCATTTCGCAATAAATAACTGCAATTTGTGACTCATCCGAAAAACACTTATCTGCATAAACGAGTGGAGCAAATGTCGTCTTTAAATAAATGAGCCAAATATAGTTATTTCTAATTGCAAACTTTAGTTCCATTCGTCCTCAAAAATGGCTCTCTTCCTTTTCCTGATATTGACAATTTTTGAACAAGTAAATTTTGTAAAATACGAATGCAACTTTAAGATATGAAAATGACTTTGGGAGATTATCACGTGACAGCCATTGTGAATTTTTGCCACATTTAGTTTTTTTTTCAGAAAACAAAGCACATTACAAACATTTGATGGATACTTCCAATGGTTCCTCTTCCATCCATACCATTATCAGAACATTTCTGTTCGCAATTTTGAGGGGATATTTTGAAAACGCCATTATTATGGATCGCACAGATGAAAAATTAAATATTAAAGAAAAAGAAAAAACTTATGGATGATAATGCTGACCCCTCTCTCTTTTCTATTTTGTAAAAAAGATACGCGGAAAAATACAGAGATCATTTTCCAGAATGTTTCATACACTTTGGTGACAAATGTTTCCACTATAATGAAAGATTTTCCGTATTTTTGACGGACGCTCAAAGCGATTGCAAGGTAGGAGAAAAAAGAAGTGGAATGGGCCATCATGCAAGGTCTAAACTTCAAATAGAAAACAAATTTCACCCTTCTTCTCTCCAAAATAATGTGTTGAAAACCACTCACACAACGAAAGTTCGGGATCTAACTCCTAAAAGAGAGATTACTTAATTAATATTTTTTGGCACAGATCCAAAACTGAAAATTGGTGACATTGTGTCACTGCGTCACTTGCGTGATTTGCGTGATCATTCGCATTTTTGGCATTTGTAAGCACCTATATCTGGTTAAGGGGTCGTTTTCCTGATTCTCCTTTGTGTGATCCGTTTTTCTCTTGAAATTCCTAATGTAAGATACATCATGTGGATTACATTTTGCAATAAGGAACCACTATTTCGGGCTCATTCTAGAAACAACATATATGTCTCTGGTTTCCCTATGCAAATACGTGCTTTTATGGAAGAACCAGAGATAGTGGTTCCGTATTGCAAAATGTAATCCATACAGTGCCTTAATACATAAGTTGTCTAGAAGCCCATTGCTCATCTTTGCTTCGTTTTTCTTAGACATTTTACAATTATTATGCCACAGCTCATCCGAAAGTCAAAGCTTTTATCACGCAAGGTGGGCTCCAAAGTTTTCAAGAGGCAGTTCATTACGGCGTTCCTCTTGTGGGAGTCCCTTTCTACGGAGATCATGCTAACAATGTCCTCAAAATGGTAGACGCAGGTATCGGAACTCAGCTACTGCCGAAAAATCTTGACTCTTACGAGGACATAAAGGCAGCCCTTCAAGCTGTGCTCTACGACGACAAGTAAGTCATAATACACTTTGCTCCGAAACAGTATATAAAGGTAAAAAGATAAAAAAAAAATACCTACTTGCATTTTGGCAACGTTGAAGAGCAATCAAATTTTACATGTGGGCACGATCTTTTTTGATTTTTTATTACCTTGGTCCTGTACGTTGTTCTTACAAGCGCTGTAAATATTTGTTCAGCTATTTAAGAAAGATGTACATTTTTTGAAAAATATGATTAGCTTAAATTCAAAGAGGCTCCTCAGAGCAGGATTAAGGTAGAGCTGAATGGGAGGAGTATCGCCTTGTGACTATTGCTTTTGATTGCCTCCTCCATCTTGAGCTTCATGAAGGTTTCAGGACCCAAAATTGGACGTATTTCTATCAAACGGAACTAAGCGTCAATTTGAGTTCCTTTTGAGGAATTTAGAATCCCGGATGGCGCGTTCTGTCAAACGGACCTAAGCGCCATGGAAAAGCATTGCGAGTATAGGACGGAATAAGCCGGACGCCCGATTCCGCCGCCAATCCAAGCCCCCCTCTACCTTCCTCACCCTATGGCGCTTAGGTCCGTTTGATAGAAATACGTCCAATTGGTGGACGCTGTAAGTAAATGTAAATATAAAATGACTGCAAAGGTAGTTTTATTTTGATGTCGTGACAAAAAATTTATTCAAATGCATTGTTGCGACGTATTCACATAATTTGTCGGCCAAACGTTTGTTATTTTCGAGGAAAATCATCTTGGATAGCGTAAGGTTGGCAGCAGGTGCGATCGGTGATAACCGTCAAAAGTTGGCAATGACCCTCCTCCCTACCTTAAAAACCAAAACAAAGTGTCACCATTTTTGGGTGCCAAGGCTTCCATGGAAAGCGTAGGGACGAGATGTTCACTCATTCTATGTAGAGTTACTCTAGATTAAGGTGGCACAAGAGGAGCGATTGCACTGCGCTACTGCGCACTCCCATGTAGCATTTGGATTTCAAGATTAAGTAAGGAAAGAGTAAATATTACCTAATCATTAGATCAATTTAATGATTATATAAACATTAGTTAACGATTAGGTAATCATTAAATAAAAAATTTTTGAAATTTTTCTTTACTTAATGATTAGGTAATCATTATTTAAACTTTATTTAATGAAGAAGTAAACGTTAATCTATTTTATTACTTCAAAATGAATTAATCATTAGCTAATGATTACTTGTTCCTTACCTAATGAAGAAGTAAATATTATGTTATTCTATTACCTAAAGATGAAAATATGTATTAAATAATGATTACTTGTT